ATTGGGCAAAGCACTCCTGAAGTCGCACCTCACAGATGGCTGCCTACTCGGCAATCCCTGGTCATAAGTGATGACTCAGTTCCCTACTGTGGAACTGCTCAGCCCCTGACCTCACATCTATGGGACCACTGTCTGTCCCATGGTATTTTACCTCTTTATAAGTCAGCCTTACAGTATTTCTACTACATATAACACACACTTGGCAGGTACTCAGTGAATGAATGGTAAAAAAATAAAGAAAGAAATACGAGGGCTCTTCATTCTTTTTTCTTTCACAGCCTAGACCGTTAATAAGATATCAAGCTTTTTTAAAAACCTCTCGAGAAAAATATTCCATTTCCTAAATCAAGAGCCCACTCCTATGTTAGATTTCTATATGTGAAAAAAATGAAGACAGCTATAATAATTCTGTACCTAACTAACTGATGGCTTTTGCAAGACTTATCTCTCCAGAACATCAACCAAACTATAAAGCATCACAATGTGATCTCTTCCTCAGGAAGAAAATGTAGCAATGCCACCTTCAGACACTCATTCAAACTCGTGAACTCAAACATACTTAAAAAGGGACATTAATTTTATAAGATTGTTCACAGGATTCCTGGAGGATGAGAGAGCATGGATAAGTATCAGCTATAAGAGGGGGAAAAATACACACAGAAATCATGGGTGATGGGGATGATGATTGAAACCCACCACCATCCATTCACATGATCAAATTCTCTTTGCCAATGATTGTTTAGAAATGACCTAATGTCATTTCAATGTGACCTAATCCTAGGGAATTTTAGAAGCAAGAAGAATTCTACTAAAGGATTCTTAGAAAGGCTTCCTCTCTAAGAAAGTGTGGTCAGGGTTGAATGTCGACCCATAAAGCAAGAGGTCACTGGTTTCATTCCTGGTCAAGACACATGCCTGGGTTGTAGGCTCAATCACCAGCAGGGACATGCAGGAGGCAGCTGATCAATGTTTCACCCTCACTGATGTTTCTATCTCTCTCTATCCCTCTCTCTCTAAAAATCAATTAAAATATTTAAAAAGAAGAAGAAGAAGAAGAAAGACAGTGAAAAGACAATGACGATCTTCTTTCCCTGGACAATGTCTTGTCTGGGCGTGACACCTGAAGCTACTCTAGCCATTGCAACCACCGGGTGGGCAAAAGTAGGTTTACGGTTGTGATTACTGGAAACAGTTTATTCTTGTATTATTATTTATTCATTATTATCTTGTTTTTCATACGATCAACTGTAAACCTACTTTTGTTCAATACTGTATAAAGTGGTCAGCCTGGAGCCAAAGTCAACACACCAGGGGGGACAGTACAGCAAAATGGAGAAAGCTTATATCAGTTGATGACCATTTAGATACTGACTCAACTGACTCAAGAGCTCTCTCTCTGGACTTTCTGTTTTGAGAGAAAATATATTTCCTTACCCTTTAAACCAATTGATTTTAAGGTTCCTGCTACTTGTAGCTCAAGGAACCCTAACAGAGATAGAATACAAAAAGTAAAGAATCTCCAAGTATTAATTACATTGAAAATGTTTCAACATTAAAATGGATATGTTGAATCAACCCTGGTCCTATTGATTTTATACCCCCCAAAATATATGCCCTGGATGGTGTGGCTCAGTTGGTTAGAGCATTGTCTCATGCATCAAAATGTCTCAGGTTCGATTCCTGGTCCGGGCACATGCCAAGGTGCAGGTTCAATCCCTGGTCAGGGTGCATACTATAGGCAACCAATCCATGTCTATGTCTGTCTCTGTCTCTGTCTGTCTCTCTCTCTTTCTCTCTCTCTCTCTTTTTTCTTCCCTCTCACCCTTTCTACCTCTCCTTTCTTCTCTCTCTCTCTCTCTAAAAAGAAAGGATAATTGTGTGATTTATCATGGTAACAGGATGAGAAGTGGTGTCAGTCAAGCATCTGCTCTTATCAATACATTTGAAAATGAACTTATTATATTAGAAAAGAAATTGATTCTGTACATGTGAATAAAGAGCTTCCTGTAATATACTAGCATTTTACCAATCAATCCATTCGCCTCACCTATTACATGGAACTTTGTCTCCTGATCCTCTCTAACTTGACAAGTCAGTTCATTCCACAATCAAAAACTGAGCTCTCTCTTTCCAAAGCTTTACAGGCAATATATCTGCTATTTGAAGCCATGAATCTACTGCATCACCTTAGAAAGTCAGCCAAGTTCTCTACTTTTCTCAGGAAATGAGATTATACTGTACTCAAAGACTTGGCATTATTTTTAGCCAATCCCAGATACCCACTTCAATCTGTTCATTTTTCCACGTTTATGTGGGTTTTAGCACTTGCTTTAGAATACCATTCATACTGTAAAATAAAAATGTGAAAATATATTTAAAAACACTTAAAAATAGGAATAAAGATGATGGCCAATTAAAGTGTTATTATGCTAAATAGTTTACTTTCTAAAGGGTCTAGATGCTTGCATTTTTAATGATACATTTAGGAAAAACTACTGAATTTTACTATGCTGACACACTGACTACAGCTGTCATGCAACTCTACTTTCTAAAATGATACTGCTTATGAAATACTCACTGAATCTCTATCAGTTTCTAATTTCTACTGAAACAGATTACCACAAACTTAGTGGCTCAAGACAATAAATTCATTACCTTACAGTTGTGCAAGTCAAAACCTGAAATAGGTCTTGAGGGGCTGAAATCAAGGTGTCAGCAGGGTTGTGTTCCTGCTGGAGGCTCAAGGGGAGAATCCATCCCCTGCCTTTTTCAGCTTCTGGAGGCAGCCAACATTCCTTGGCTCCTGGCCACATCACTCTGACTTCTTTCTGTCATCACATCTCCTCCTCTGTCTCTGACCCTCCCAACTCCCCCTTATAGAAACACTTATGATATACTGAGCCCACCCAGATCATCCAGGATAACATCCCCATCTCAAGGCCCTTAATTTAATCACATCAGTATAGTTCTTTTGGCCAGATAAGGTAACACAGTCACAGAGACCAAAGACTAGGCCATAGACATCTTTTGGGAATCTACCACAAAATTCATCACAAGTAGGGGAGGTTTTCCTTTATCTCATCTAATCTGAGAGTATTTAGGATACTGTATCAATTAATATTGATCCAGAAGTTTTTACTGGTTTTGAGTTATGAGGAGATACTCCTGACACTCCAAAGACAAGTTAATGCGCTAGTAAAATTTCAGTCCCAGAAACTACTCAGTCTTCTTCCCACAATGGAGAAAAACAAAACAAAACAGCTTGAAAATTTTGTTCCTAGTTTTGGTTCCTAGAAACAATACTAAAAACATGTGGACAAAATGAATTTGTCAGGAAAAGAGACAGCAAAAGGTAAAATAAATAAATAAATAAATAAATAAAAATAAAAAAAAATAGGAAAATGGCAACTTATTATAATATGAAAAAGTCTGATATAAAACAAATGTCTTTGTCAACCCGTGTGTATGCACCTGCTCTTTCAACCCTCCAATGCCTCTGTGCATAGTCTTTCTTTGGCCTCCTTCCCCTGCACGCTATCTCTTATCTACCCATCCTAAAGTGACAGCTCTGCTCCCTCCAAGCTCATATAAATAACCCGCTTCTACATTTCTGCTCTGCCCTCTTATAACCTCCTTTTCCTGTAGAAACCCTCCCTGCATTGAAACCTTTATAAAATGGGCTCTACTCTAATCAAGAAAAGGCACAGCCTTGTTTTTCTCTGTGTTCCAAATGCCATGCAAAGTTCCAGGAACATAGTAGGTACTCAATTAGGTTTGTTAGAAAAATTAATCAACCAAATCTAAAAGACAGCTCCTCGAAGACTTTTATAAAAAAGGAAAGATTACTTTAAACATCCTCATGCATGTTTCTTTAGTTCTAGCGATTATGAAAAGGATTGCTTCTGAGATTGCAAACCTTTAAAGTTTTTACCAATTCCAGTTTGAGCTTAAAAAAAAAGAGCTTATTTTAAACAACCCCATCCTGTAATAAACAGTCGCTGGGACTTTCCCATTCCATGCTCATTTGAATGCACTCGCCCTTTCTCACCACTAATCTGACAGAGTTTTCATGGGAGGTGAGAAAAACAATCTTTAAGAAATAAGATGTAATAGGTTTCTAAATTAGAAGTTTCAACCAGGCACCAAGACACATTAGTATGATATTCAGAGTAACATCCTGACCAACATCCACTTTTTCAATGAAATCCCCCAAAAGTAGTTATGACTCTCAAACCTAACTCCTGCTACATTGAAGACGGTCAATGGAACTGGCTGTTAAGACAAAGGGATTTCTTTGGAGAAGTCTCTTTGCCTCAGGTCAAGAGAGTGAGGCCTCATGGAGTCACCCAAACCTTAATAATGTCTCTTAAAAAAAAAAAAAAAAACAACAACAACAACAACAAGAGAAGAGATTCCCTGCTGACAGGGATGAGAGCGCCAAGTGGGGGTCAGCCTACATCCAGTCTCTCACATAAAATGTGGCCACAGCCACATACAAGAGGTTGTTTGTTCAGACACTGGCTGCTAAAATGAGACTGTGGCTGACAAGGGAATGCCACCACAAGAGTGAACAGAAAAGCCACTGGACTCAATCGCCTGGGGAGTGTATTCTACAAGGACAAAGGGTGATTAAGTACATGTTCTCTGACTCCAGACCATTCACACTGCTTGTTAAGTGTACCAGTTACACACACTTTCCTCCCCATTTGCAAGTCCTATCAAAGCTGGGAACTGTCCTCCCGCTGGGAAGGAAAGATGGAATTCCTTCCAGAGATTAGGGAGCCATGCTCTCAGAGAGCAGATGGTGACTGTGTGGGGCCTGGTTATTTAAGAGCATTAAACAGAAACATGTTGAAGAAAAAAAAAAACTGACCCCTTTTCTCCAAATGAACCCCCCATCAACGTAAACAGAAAGTTCCCTTTGCTCCATAATCATTGTCACCTTGGAAAAGTAAAAGGAGGGGAGGGGGCAGGGAAAGGGAAACACTCAGGACACTTACCCAGGCCCTGGTTCTGCTGCTCCCACTCGAGGGCATCTGGCACCTGGTAGGTGACTCCCTCCAGAAGGTCCCTGCTCTCCTGCTCTAAGTCAGGCTCCCGAGAGGTGACGCCAGGGAGTGTGAACCCACGCAGCTCCGTGTCACCACCCAAACTCTCATCCAGGGCGTCTGCATCTTTCTCTTCTTCATCCTCCTCCTCGTCTTCGTCTTCTTCATCCTCCTCCTCCTCGTCCTCTTCATCCTCTTCTCCCTCTGGACAAAAAGAAATTAATGATAAAGTGACTGCAAGTGAATCTCTTAAATGAACCAAACACTACAAAATAAGCCTGCTTGGCTTTTCAAAACAAATTTTAAAGCCAAATGGAGCGATGTAGTTTTGTGGACTTTTGTGGCCATTTTCTAAATTTGTTATATTGAATTTATTGGTGTAACATTTTTACTAACATTATATAGGTTTCAAGCATATAATTCTATAATGCATCATCTGTATACCGCATTGTGGGTTCACCACCCAAAGTCAAGTCTCCTTCCATCACCATTTATCCCCCCTTTATTCTCTTATACATCCCCTACCCCTCTTTCCCTCTGGTTATCACCATACTGCTGTCTGTGTTTATGATGGTTTTCTCTGTTTTTTGGCTTAATCTCTTCACTTTTTCACTGAGCCTCCCAACTCACCTCCTCCAATCTGTTCTTTGTATCTATGAGTCTCTTTCTATTTTGATCATTAGTATATTTTGTTCATTAGATTCCACATATAAGTGAAATCATATGGTATTTGTCTTTCTCTGACTGGTTTATTTCACTTAACATAATACTCTCCAGAACCATCCATGCTGTTACAAACGGTAAGATGTCCCTCTTTTTTACAACTAAGTGGTATTCCACTGTATAAATGTACCACAGCTTTTCTGTCTACTCATCTACTGATGAGTGCCCATCATTCACCTACATTTTAAACTCTGTAAATCACAGTTTTGTCAGATAATTATTATGCATCATGGTTATTTTTAGTCAAAGTTCAGGTAACATGACTTTTTATTAGTTATATTTATATTTACTAGGGTAAGAAACAACCTCTTCCTGTTTTCTGGAGGTCAAAAGATTTATCCATCGGAAAACACACTAAAATGCTAACAGAATTTAAAGGGAGCGCCCCAATCCCTTTATATCTTATAACTAGAGGCCTGATGCACAAAATTCCTGCAAGGGGCTCGCCCTTGCAGCCACAGTGGTTGCCTTGGCCCTCGCAGCCCCAGCTTTGTCTAGAAGGTCGTCCAGAAGGACGTCCAGAAGTCGTTCAGCTGTCCAGTCTAATTAGCATATTATGTTTTTATTACTCTAGATACTAAACAAGAGAATCTCCCTGGTGGTCTAGTGGTTAGATACTAAACAAGAGAATTCATTATTTTGGCAATATTCTCTTTTCATTCTTCTTTGGTATCAGTGAGCAGAATGCACAATCATGTTAAGGGAGAGGCACCTAGATCCACTCCTGAAACTGCTCTCTCTACGGAGGAGTGACCCTCAAAATGGAAACAATTACCTCAATGCTCCAGTCCAACCTAGAAGGAACTAGAAGATGGGATATTGATTAAAGACACTCAGAAAAGCAACATAGTTAAAAAAGCGTTTTCATTACTATCATCATATGAGCTACATTCACGATTTGTCATTTTCAGTGCTTCAAATGGGGTAGGTTTAGGGGACATAAGATCTCCATTCCATTGTGTTTCACTAATTTTAATGTTCAAGGAATACTGTGGGCCCCATGGTTCAATCCTGGAGCCACCAAGGAATGCAGAGACTCTCCTTTGCTGCTTCAAAGCAATCTTTCCCACACATATCCCTTCTCATTCATTATTTACAGGATTTGGTTTGTTGTTGTTGTTGTTGTAGTTTTTTATAAAAAAAAAAAAAACTTTGCATCTAATATTTTTCATTCCTATCCTATAACCGCGCTCGCTCTTCTCTTCTCTCTCTCTCTCTCTCTCTCTCTCTCTCTCTCTCTCTCTCTCTCTCTCATGCCTTATCCCTCGGGACATTCCTCTACCAGCTATCTCCTCTCTCTCCTGCACCATCTCCCTCCCCCACTTCCACCAGATCTTCCCCATCAACCTACAAGTAAATTCTAACAGTTCCTATCATAAGCACCTACCCTTGACTTTATATCTCCCTTCTAGGGCCCCCAAGTGTCCCTCTCCTTTTCAAATTTCTTGTAACAATTATAAAGAAAATAGGCCTGTCATTGTTTCAAAAATTCAACATATATTTGTCAAGCACCTGGTCCCAGGTACTAGGAATAGAGCAAGAATGTCTCTGCCTTTGTGGAGCCGATCTGACACCCACAGGGGACATACAGCGAACAGACAGACATGTGACATAATTATACCCTGATTAAAGCTGGCAAACATCAAGGAAAGCTTTTCTGATAAGGGAAAGTCTAGACAGAAATCATACAAAAATAATGAATTCTCTTGTTTAATTTAGGTTAATTTAGGAAGCACATCCCCAGCAGAGACAACAGCAAGGGCAAAAGCCTTGAGGCAGATGTATGCTTGTATACAGAGAATGACCATTACTGAGGGGCAGGGAGGGACAGAGAGAATCTAGGAAATGAGGGGGAAGGGGAAGGTAGAGGCCAGGTCTGACATGTGTTTATAATGCATGACTCTGGCTGAAGGGTAGAGAACATGCTATATCAGAGCAAGAGACAAAACAGGTGACCCATTAGGAGGCTATTCCAAAACCCCAAAACCCCAAGAATAGGGGAAGGTGCTCTGGACAAGCGTGTAGTCTTGGATGTGGGGAGAGGTGGTCTGATCTGGGATGCAATTTGAAGGTAGAGCCTGCTAATAATGACAATGTGAAACGTGGGAGGAAGATCCCACTTTACCAAAAGTAGGGACTAAAGGATAAAGAACAAAATCAAAATTTTTTTTTGAGCCCAGCCAGCGTGGCTCAATGGTTGAGCATTGACCAATGTACCAGGAGGTCACGGTTCCATTCCAACTTTGATTCCCAGTCAGGGCATCAGTTGTGGGCTTGGCATGAGTACGGGATGTGCAGGAGTCAGCTGATTCGCTCTCATCATTGATGTTTCTATCTCTCCCTCTTTCTTCCTCTCTGAAATCAATAAAAACATAATTTTTTAAAAGAATTCTAGTTGAGACAATAACTGTGTGATGGCTATACCTATGACCTCCAAGTGGAAGCCCAGGAAAAAAATCAAAGCTAGAGATAAAAATCTAGGAGTCATCAATTAATAAATACTATTTAAAGCCTTAAGACTGGCTGATATCACCTAGAGAATGAGTGTTGGGAGACAGGGAGTTGATAGAGAAAAATGGGGTCATTGGATTATCGAACATTAAGAAGTTGGCCAGCAGAGGGCGATCCAGCAAAGGAGACAGAGAAGTGACGGCTGTGTGGGAGGAAAACCAAGAGAGAGTGGTGTCAGGGAAGCCAAATGAATAAAACACCTCTGAGAGGCCGAGTAAGACACAGAGAACGTCCATCTGGCTTTGACATTACCTCTGTCTTTGACATTTTGTAGGTCGTTCGTGACCTTGACAAAAGTTGTTTCCATGCAATCGTAGGAACAACAGGAGGACTGGATTTGAAAAGGATATTAGAAAAGTTAGTACAATAAATATAACTCTTATATTTAGAAAAGGAGAGGGATACTAAGGGGCTGCTGAAGGGAGATAGGAGGTCAAGGGTAGGTGCTTGAGATAAGAGCTCACAGAATTTGAATGTAAGATGATGGGGAAGATCTGGTAGAGAGGGGACTGTTGGTGCTGGGGACTGAGGAGACAGCCTTGGGAGGAATGTCCTAGGGGTGAGACATCAGGGAGAAGGCGGTTATACACGTGAACTTGGGGCCACGCACACTTACTGTGTCATTCTGAAAGGTTACTGAAGGTTGGTGTGCCTCAGCTGCTTCACCTATAAAACGGATTCTGACCTCACAGGGCTGCTGTGAGGATGGCATTAGTGGATACACAAGGTACTTAACACCAAGCCTGCCACACTGTGGCCAGTCTGTAAAGCTGGCGGCCGCTTTGCTATTCCTGCGAGGGGATGGGGGCCAGTGCACGGGCTGCTCCCCGGCAGCAGCACAGCGGACAGCGGGGCAGATCTGGTGAGGGGAGTGTGTGAACATGATCTTCATATTGCTTTATTTTCTGTCAAATAAAACAGCTAGAAGGGGAAAGAGAAATGTTGGTGATTTGAGGCGAGAAAAGTGTGAAATAGTCATCTTGAAAAACGCGTGACTCTTGGTCAAGCCTTTTTTCTCTATGTATTGCAAACATTTCTGCCCGAGGTACCAAACCCCAGAATTTAAATTTTGTTCAGGTCCAGGGCCATTGGTTAACTCCCAACAAAATCAGTCGAAGATAAGGGAGGAAATCTGCCCGATGGTCCTGGCCTGAGTGATCTCACCAAGGCTAGAAGCCATTTAAAAGGCAGTTCCCACCGAAGGTGTTCAGTTTTCTCAGTCCACTCTCTACATATGGTTTCGATATTTTTAGATTTCCAGAAGAGACAGACATAGCTAGCTAGCATTCCCACCATATTACCAAAGGGTCAGAGGGGAACCCTTGGTTGAGACCATGTCGTCTCAATAATGGGAGCTGTAGGAACCCCAGGAGCAATACAGGAACCCCAACATAACTGGACCGACAAGAAGAGTAGGATCTCTCCTGTACTTTCTGCCTCTGTGGAACTGCACCGACTCATCTGAACCTCTTCATTCACTAGTTTTAAGCGCCAAACCTCTCCTCTGAGTGGCACTTTTCTTTCCTTGACAAAATCTCAAACTCGTTCTAAGGAAAACAAATTAGAGCACAGGAAGAAGAGGAAGGATGGCATGAAAAGAGATGGGGTGGTTTTACTGGGCAGAGGCTGAGCATGCATTAGCCTCTCTCCCACTATCCCTCAAAAGGAAATGGCTGTGACATTTCTAAAAGAAGTTGCAATGTGTTTTCCTGGGAACCCTTATACCCACATAACCAAAGCCACTGTACCAAGGTTTCACATAAATAGTGACTAAAGCACTAGAAATAGCACTGCTTTTATGCTCCAATTTTTTTTTTTTTAACTTGGGCATCAAATTGGGCATAAAACTTAAAAGCCAGAAAAGAAACCTATTTTGAGGACATAAAGTGACTTTCCAGCAGATGGCGCTCTGGGATCGCAAGGGGTTGAGGAATCTTGGAAGCTGCTGAAGAATGACCAAGTTCAGCAGC